GTATATAAGCTATGTAAAATCCGTAATCAGGACTCCCTCCATTAGCTGGGAGTCTCCAGTTCGTTTAGAGCTCTCAAATAAAGTGGATAGAAAAAGTCTGATTTTTGTCCCGGTGTTCTGTTCACCCCGCACCAGGTCCCGAACCTGGTAATTAGGGTCAATTGGCTGGACCCAAACAGTCCCATCTGGACACCCCCCTCCTCCCCAGTGCCGAGACGTTCTGGAGGAGGCTCTGCAATGGCATTATGATCAAGAAGGAAGAATAGGAGATGGAGGGAACGGATTTGTCTTCCCTGCCAAAAATCCACCCCAGCAGAACGTCAAAGCCGTTTCTCCTGGTCCGTGGTGGTAGCTGCATCATTCCAAACCCTAGTTGGGACTTGTCATTTATCCCCCAAGGATAAGCACGCACACACACACACCCCACCCAGCTGCCAGTCTGACACAAGGGGGCCCAGCCTACTGTGGGTTGCCACAAATGGGATTTTGAACCAAATGGGATTTTGAACCGTGGTTGGAGGTAATGGTAGGGACAGGTCTGGAAAGACCCACTGAAGTTGGGTTGCTATCAGAAAAGAGGAGTCACCTGCAAGTCACCTGCAAGGCAAAGAAAAACGTTAGTCTGGGCTTTATTTTTTCTTTCCAGGAACTGTGTGTGGGGTGAGTGTGTGGGGCCCCTTCTTCCTCCTCCCGAGAACAAAGCAACTTTTTCTTCTGAACATTCAGCTCTGCCCTCACCTATGGGAAGTAGGTATAACCCCCTTCTATTTTTTAAATTCTGAGCTGGTTTTGTGGTTGTTGGTTTTGGGGGGGGGGTGTAGGGATGTGGAAGTGTGGGTGTGGGTGTGGGTGTGTTTTGCAGAATCTTTTTTCCTTTTTTCCTTTCCTATGGATGGTTTTTCCAAGTCTTCTTCACAACTATGGCAATTTCTTTACTCTGTTCTTTCTCTGGCCATGTTGTTTTACGTTTTAGCACATGCTGTTCTGATTCCTGACCAGTAGGACTATATTGTGACTGACCCTCATTTTTCAATTAACACCTGAAAGAGAGGCTGCTTAGACAATCCAGCTCTTCCTCTTTACTCTGCCAGCTGCGAGATAACCAACTTCCTGCTCTAACCCCGATTAGATAATTATTTCCCTCTTTTGACTTAGCCAAGACCCAATGCCTGCTTCGCACTTCATCCTCGTT